TCAGTGGGGCTCTGCGTAGTCTCAGGGGGCTGTCTATACTGGTCAAATGGCAGAATTGAGACCTGTGGTGCTGTATAAAAAAAATATGATTAAACCCCACTGACCCATGCGTGAAAAGTTTAATAATAGTATTGAAAACTGGAAGCCTGATTTATTATACAGTGATATAATCTAATCTAATTTATTAAACAGTGATATAATAACTGTCTCGCTGTATTTAATTCAGGAAGTCTTAATAGTATGTACTCATTGCATGCCTATTGTGGCCATTAGTGTGAAAGGGACTTATGCTCATGCACAAAGAGGAGAATATACACAGTGCTTTACATGAAATTTGAAATGTGAGTTATTTTCAATGCAGTAAGAGAAAGGAAGCAACAAAACAAAAGATACAATTGTAACAGTTCAAAAGCGTATTAAAGAAGGAAAACTATGAGTAGTAGCTTTTGTCACTCTATCTGAAGAAACCTTACTGCTTTTTTGTATTACAGTATTATTATTATGTTATTGTTATTAATTAAATCAAAGGAAATTGTGTATATGTTGGTGTTTGTCTTCATTATGAATCCCAGAATTGGTAAGTTTCACAAAAATAGGAATTTAGAAACAAGGTGAGGTGCTCAAGTCAACACCAGAAAATGCTTGCAGCTCACTTCTGTTTTATAGTGCTGGGCTCCAAGTTGAGGGAACAAGCTGTAAAACAAGGGGAAGTGATGGTGAGGATGGTAATTATTTCCAATGTGCTTTGCATTTTTTTCCCTCAAAAAGGCCATTTTTGAGATGCAGAAATCAATAAAACATCCAAAAATGATATTTTATGCATATTTGTTAGCCTAAAAATAGACATTCCTGTTTTATTATTAGTTTCATCTGAAAAAGCCTCTACCTTGTTTTGAAGCCTTGAAAGCCACGTTTCACTTTGGTTAGCACTGCTGCCGTTTTTGGCAGCATAAAGGATCTTGAAGTACAGCTGTATGCAAAATGCCTTTATAATGAACAGTAATGAGAATGAAGAGGGAAGGATAAACAGTAAATATTCAACTGGGGCCCAGATTTCTCGGAGTTCCGTGCAGGTAGCCCCTGCCACAGACTTCACTGGAGCTCCATGTAAGGAGCTCACTGCAGAAGCAGGGGCAGGTATAACAAACCGAAACAGGATGTTCAGATGCACACTTACTATCTTGAAGATACGTTTAAAATTTCTCCTGTTTTTTACTTCAAGGAGGCAAAAATTGGAGTGAAAATTTAAGATTTCCGCCCTCCTCATGGTCCCATGAAATGACTGGTCCAAAGTGGATGCCATGCTAATTTTAAAACTGCAGATTATTTTTCTTTCACATTGACCTGCAAAGTTTATGAATAAGCAGCACACAAATTTAGATCTGATTTGCCAGGAGATTAAGAAGCCTTCTAAAGTTTTAGAGACTTTCATGGGAATCCTGTTTCAACCCATTATTGACCCCTTGTTGAGAGAACTAACACAAGGAAGATAAGCATGGGCTGATGGACAGGTTCATTCTGTGTTCTTTATGAACAGTAAGGTGATTTGATTGGGCTCTTGCTCTGTACTGTTGATATTTTTTCATAATTGGTCTGGATACCATATTGGTTGCATTATTAGTTGCTATTGCATAATCACCATAGAAGAAATGATCCATCCATAATTGTTTTCCCATACTCCCTATATTTCATCTTGTATTTCCCACTGATTTCCTCCCCCCCCCCAAAAAAAGTTTTTTTTTGTTTTGTTTTGTTTTTAACAATTGTCTTTAGAAACTATCATATAAGCTTTGCAGTGTGGAGTACAGGCATTATTTTAGTGCAAAGTGAGCATTTTCCCGTCTCTAGTTTGCTGCTTCTTCCTCATCATATTTAAACCAATGGTGGTGATAGCATCGCTATAAACCACAAGCTAAAGATGTTGCATCTGTGCATGTTTTGCCTGGGGATGGCTAATCTGGCATGACATAGTATTACAAAATAAGGCTCCAATTCAGGAAAATACTTAAGCACGTGCTTAAAGTTATGCATATGTTTTAAGTGCTCCCTTGTATAGGAATGCTATTCTGAACTGGAGCCTAAGTAAAGAACTTAAAACACTAGAACCTTACTAATTCACCCTAACAGGGAGACCCATTGCAAACTAGCAAGTGGTGGGGGTAGCCAGTAGATATACAGCATATTACCCCTTGTCTCTGACATTCAAGAGCAATGTGAAACAGGCTTGGTTAATTTACTGGTCTATCAGTTTGCCATGAACATTTAAACCATAAGTGTCAAAGCTCTGTTTAAGGATGTTCCTGAGATCTGAGGGTTGGGCCACACGATGACACGAGGTTCATCCAAGTGGGATGCAGCACAGCATTAGAATTTTGCTGGCCAGTGCTCTGCAAACCTTGAAAATCTTTCCAGTGTAGGTCTGCAGTGTAATCCAGTGCAGAGTAACAAGATTTCACTGTACACGTAAATACTTGTCTGTCTTGTAAAACATTCAGGTAACTATAAAAACAATAGGTAAAAATCTCTTATAACATGCTTCCTACTTCTGATTGCAAGGTCATGGATTAAATGATATACAGTGAAATGGAAATTTCCTTCTGTATAGTAGTGACTATACCCCGTAAAGAATGCTATGATTCTAAAACGATAAAATCAGGGTACCCACTTAAGGAATTATTGTAAGAGTTTAAAATGAGATTTTCTTTTAAAACACTCAACTTTTCCATGATTTTTCAAAGTTGAGATATGCTTAGTTATTTTTTTTAATGTTAAGGAATGAGATGAAGTTTTGGAAGCAGAAATAATTTTGAGTGAGTTTAAAAAAAAATAAAGGGCTGTTTGTCTATAAAACTCATCGGACCAATTTGGGCTGCTTTTTAATATTAAAATATAAGATTTAGGATTAATAATTCTCAGACAATTCCCTATTGAGCTGCATAATGCAACATTGAGTTATTTATGTAATGCATATACTTCTTTTTGCTGTTAGTTATCCTCTGAAAGACTTATTAGTGCAAGAAGACAGCACACCCTGAGAATAAAAATCTCCAAAGTTTGACATCTTTAAATAAGCAACCAAATGTTATAAAGAACAAACCTCACTTACAGTTAGGAAACAATATTTACATTTAAGGTTGAAAAGCCAGGATGTAGGAAAATTTTGCTAATTTGGAAGGTGACCTTTAAGTGCACCAAAACCAAATAATTTGTAAGCCATGGCACAGGGCACATTCCTGCAAAAGTTGTCTGAATACTACTTTAGTGGTTCTTGAAAGACAAACAAAGAAACCTGGAATGAAATCTTTATCCCCCTCCCAAATAAGATTGAAACTAACAAAGGAGTATAGCAGCGCTCTTTCAAAGCTTGCCATTAACAGGAGGGTTCTGCAGCACAGTTAATGAGATGTTTCAGAAAACAATCTGTTTTTAAGAATGTTTAGATCAAAAGTAATTTCCAATCTATGAAATGAAGTTGCTTTTCAATACCTTTCATTCAGTAGCCAAGCTTTTTATGTTTGCATTATTTATTTCAATCAGATGTTCTCAATTTTACTTTTTCTCCTTGGACCTACTTGACAAGGTTAGTCAGTAGTGACCAACAATTTTATTCTTCCAAAGCAAAAAACAAGAGAGAGAGAAAGAAGGGTGGAGGTGGGGGAGGGGGAGAAACATCTTTGCCTAAATGATTTGCAAGCATCTGTGCTTTAAGCTACTTTTTATGAACACTCTTAGTAATGACTCAAGGTAAAAAAGCAGAAAAGCATCCAATGTTAGGAAATTGCAATCCAATACCACGTAATTTAAACCTGCCATTGCTTCTCTTGTACTAAATGACATACAGATGGGTAGCTCTGTTCCCTCTACTTTGGGAACACAATTGGACTTTTTATGAGTGTATATATTGCTGACAAAAATATTTTTGTCAGGACTGTTTATTTCTAATTGTGCATATTATAATTACTTGAATAATTAGAGTTATTTTACATGAAGTATTACATATGGTTAGTAAAGCTATTTCCACATTCAGCACACTTATACTAGTGTAATTTTTTTGTTTTCATTCACCAGAGCAACCAGTATTGGGTCCTGAAAAGTATAAATCTCAGATTGGCTTCCTCAAAAAAAAATTTTTTTTTAAATTCTTTTCTAGAGTAATTACAGATTTTGCATTATAAGAATGATGTTTTTACAATAATGCCTTGAGACCATTTAGATTTTCTTTTTGTGTGTAGAACTAGGCATAGTCTAGGTTGGGATTTTCAAGGGAGTATGAGCCAGCTTTTGATTTTAATTAATTAACAAATTAATTAATACATCCCAGCTATAATTTTTAAGACAACTTTATTTTTGAGGACTGCACAGTTTTTAGAATAGTGAAATGACTTTTGTATTAGGGCTGATATTTTGATCTGCGTTATGAGACATAGTCCGTAAGAATAATTCAGTTGTGACAAAAATACACCTTTTGAAACAAAGTTAAAATAAATGTAAGGATGGTGGAGAAATCAACCATATTGGAAGTATAACAATTTATAATATTTAAAACTTCTTTAAAAGGTTGTGAAATCATTAGATGCTGAATTGTGGCTAAACATCATATGCCCATTACCTTATGTCTACAATATAGATGTCTTGAAAAGAGCATTGAGTTTCAGTTATTTTTTGCAGACTTCTTCTTCTTCCTTTTTTTTTTTAAGTGGTAGGAAAATGTTACCTTCTCGTGAATGACTGTAAAGATTTAGGATGGCGCACAGAAGGCTTTGGCTGTAGCACATTGTCACTGCTCCAGTGGAATCACCTGGCTTTTGAGCAACATTCTTTTAAAACTTGGATTTGAAGAAATAATCAGCTGCAGTTCAGCTGAGCCGTTCTATTGCATTAGGGACTGGTCTGGTCATTGACAAGTGAATGCAGAAGCTATGCTGTGGCCGTCAGCCAAAGCAATTATTCAAGATTTAAGCTAAAAAGACTCCTTCTCTCATATCCTCTCCCTTTTTCAGGGTCATGTAGGGATAAAAAGAACTGCAAGGTGGTCTTTTCCCAGCAGGACCTGAGGAAGCGGCTGACGCCTTTGCAGTACCATGTCACTCAGGAGAAAGGGACTGAAAGGTATGGCTGGCTGAAGGAAGCACATTCATGAAGAAATAGGCATCTTTCCTTCTTTCCTCCCCTTAGCTGCTGTTTCCCCTCCAACCGCTTTCAAGAATTCTCCACTTGTTTACTAACCCCTACAAATTAACACTACTGAAAAGACAGGCATCTGCCGTGTGGTGGTCAAGGCAAATAGTGTGTGTGTGTGTGTGTGTGTGTGTGTGTGTGTGTGTGTGTATTAAATGAACACTAAGTGTCTTATAAAGTCACAGAGCTTATGTTTAGGGTCTGTTTTTAGTTTACTACAAAATGTGTGGAAGTAATAGCGGTTTAGGTACATTTTTTGGAAGACATCACAGTGAGCAGAACCAAGAGGAAAATGGCTCTGTGCCAGGAGGCTGAAATTTTGAAGGTGGCCATTGTAAGTATAGACATTTTGGCTGCAAAAAGAAGGTAGCATAATTTAGTTCCTTTCCACCCCACTCCAATTTCTTTTTGAAGCGCATGTGGAGAAGGTATTTATTGGCTCATTTGTGGTAGGAATGTCAAAAATTTTCAATAACTGCCCTCACATGGCTTTAGTCCCTGGAAGCTAGCCCTAAATCCTGGATGGAAAAAAAAGTGCTCACTTCCAAACTGTTCGTAGTGAATAGTCTCTCTCAGCTGATTCCAGCATGAAGGCAACTTGCCAAAATCTAACCATTTTGTTGTCTAATTTATACCATGGAGCTTGGCATAAGGCCCTAGCTTACCTCTGATCCAAATGTATTAATGATGTAACTGCTTGTTTTCATTCATGACCTGAAAGGGCTCTTTACCACACATGGGGTCCTAGTTAATAGGCAACACTCTTCCTATCAGAGTATACTATTTGCTGAATGTAATGAATGGGAATCACTGGCACAAAACCCCCCACAAATGAGCTGGCAGTGGGACCTGAGCCTCCACTCATGAGACCTTCTTCCACCCTAATCACTTACTGTTGTGTATATGATTAGCAAAATGATTTAATGCACGCAAACAATTGGAGAGTAGGTCATTCTTAAAAATCCTGTTTATAAAAAAAAAATTGGACCTCATAAAAAGGGTGAAAGGATAATAAAAACAAGCTGCCGAGCACATAGGCTTTTTGTTGGACTAGCGCAGCTGATTTGTATTAGATGAATGACCTCCTAGCCCTTACGTTTGTTAACTTAGAAAAATATTCCCTTAAAACTGTAATATTCCTTTTCGACTAAAAATATAAGGCTCACGCAGCTTGAAATGATGGACGAGTTGTTTCATTTTCTGTTAAGATACGAATGATACTCTAACACACGGGCAGCCCATCCTATGCTAACAAACCAACAGTGTCATTTATCCACTACTCCTAGAGCTTTATTTGTTGCTGAGCATTTGAGATCATTGTTAAAAGATTGTTTGAAGACTAAAGCTAGAGAACAGGAGTACTTGTGGCACCTTAGAGACTAACAAATGCTCTAATAAATTTGTTAGTCTCTAAGGTGCCACAAGTACTCCTGTTCTTTTTGCGGATACAGACTAACACGGCTGCTACTCTGAAACCTGTCATTATGTAAAGCTAGAGAAATGCTCAAGATTAATTGAATTTTAAACAATCTTTGTTTTAAAAATTACTAATTTTAGGAAGTTGCCAAACAGTTTTAAACAGCAATTGTTTTTTGTGCTCTTATCTTTGATGTGTGTGAGGTTTTGCTTCCTCCTGAATAGTATGTAACTGTTAAGGCAAATTTATGAAGATATTCATTTTTTCATTTGATAAAGAATAACAATAGCTAACTCTTGAGTTCCGCTTTTTGCACTCTAATATAAAATTTAAAAAACACTATTCCTTTACTGATTTTTAAAATAGCGTTCTTGTTTTTCCCAGCGCCTTTGAGGGAGAATACACACATCATAAAGCTCATGGGATATACAAATGTGTTGTCTGTGGAACTCCTTTATTCAAGTGAGTATATTAAATATAATTTCAAGACTTTTTTCTGTATTAGATATTATGTTATGATCCACCGTAATCTCTCATGTTCCTGGCTTTACAGTTGCTTTGTAAGAAAAATTAAAAAATAACTTTCATTCAAACCAAAAGATAGTATACAAAAAATTAAATAGCATAATACAGTAAACTGGGAGTCTTGTAGTATAAGTAACTTGACTGGGAAATGAGTTTTATAATACAAAACCATGGACTTAGCTGGTGAGGTAACTTTAGAGTTATTTGAGTTCTTTATTTCAGCATTGGAGATTCAGATGTGGGTGTAAACCAGTGATCCCCATTCTGCAGGCTCATGTAGGCCCGATGGAGGTAGTCTATCCATACTCCAGTCAGATGGTTAGACCTTTAAGAACATAAGAACATCCATGCTGGGTAAGAACAATGGTCCATCTTTTGATAGTGGCCAGTGCCAGAAGCTTCAGAGGGAGTGAACAGAACAGGGCAATTATCGAGTGGTCCAGTCCCAGCTTCTAGCAATTTAGGGGCACCCAGAGTGTGGTGTTGCATTCCTGACAATCTTGGCTAATAGCCATTGATGGATCTCTCCTCCATGAATTTATCTAATTCCTTTTTTAACCCAGTTCTACTTTTGGCCTTCACGACATCCCCTGGCAATGAGTTCCACAGGTTTTACTGTGTTGGGTGAAGAAGTACTTCCTTATGTTGTTTTAAATCTGCTGCCTATGAATTTCATTGGGTGATCCCTGGTTCTTGTGACGGGGTAAATAACAGTTCCTTATTCACTTTCTATCATTCATGATTTTATAGACCTCTGTCATGTCCCCCTTAGTTGTCTCTTTTCTAAATTGAATAGTCCCAATCCTTTTAATCTCTCCTCATACAGAAACTGTTCCATATCCTCTAATCATTTTTGTTGCCTTTCTCTGTACATTTTTCAATTCTAATATATCATTTTTGAGATGGGGTGACCAGAATTGTATGCAGTATTCAACATGCCATTATATTTTCTGTCTTCTTATCAATTTCTTTCATGTTTCCTAACATTCTGTTAGCTTTTTTTGACAGCTGCTGCACATATGAGCATATGTTTTTAGAAGACTAACCACGATGACTCTAAGATCTCTTTCTTGAGTGGCAATGGCTAATTTACACCCCATAGTTCTGTATGTATAGCTGGGATTATGCTCTCCAATGTGCATTACTTTGCATTTATGAACATTTAATTTCATTGACCATTTTGTTGCGCAGTTCCCCAGTTTTGTGAAATCCCTTTGTAACTCTTTGCAGTCTGCTTTGGACTTAACTATCTTGAGTAATTTTGTATCTTCCGCAAAGATGCTACCTAACTGTTTACTCCTTTTTCCAGATCATTTATGAATATTTTGAACAGCACTGGTCCCAATTGCAGATCCTTGGGGGACCCTGATCTTTACGTCTTTCCATTGTGAAAATGGACTATTTATTCCTACCCTTTGTTTCCTGTCTTTTAACTGATACATAACAGGACTTTTCTTCTGATCTCCTGACTGCCTACTTTGCTTAAGAGACTTTAGTGAGAGACCTTGTCAAAGGTTTTCTGAAAATCCAAGTACACCCTATACACTGCATCGCCCTTGTCCATATGCTTGTTGACCCCACTCAAAAAAGTCTAATAGATTGGTGAGGCGTGATTTTCCTTTACAAAAGCCATGTTGTCTTTTCCCCAACATATTGTATTCTTCTATGTGTCTGATAATTCTGTTCTTTACTATAGTTTCAACCAGTTTGCCCGGTACTGAAGTTAGGTTTACTGGTGTGTAATTGCCAGTGTTTAGAGCCTTTAAAAAAATTAGCATTATATTGGCTACACTGCTCTACAGCCAAAATGCTTCTGAAATAAATGTAGTCAAACTTTACTAATTCTGGGTCACTGAGAACGAAAATGATGCTTAAAATTGTTGATTGGCTCTAGTTTTCAAGATATGCTATTGGATCAGTATATACGACCCTTGACTGGGGAATGGCGGAGGATAAGTGAGTTATAAAGGGAAGGGATCTCAATTTAAACCAGAAATGACTAAAATACATCTTTGACTGGATCTATGAATAAATCTATGACTGGGTTTGGATAGTACTTGCTTTTTAGACAAAACAATGAATGATGCAATCTGAAGCTGGTATTGTATCATACATGATATGAATTACATCATGTTAT